AAGTGATCTTGACCAACGGACACAAAACTACTGAGAATAGTAATGCTCACAGTTAAGCTTTATTGCAGACTTACTTTTTGCTAAGCACTGTGCAAACTATTTTATGATTTTTAAATTATTAAGCTTGATGGTATTTGCAAGAGTTATTTTTTAATCTTTGTAGTTGTTATGACTGAAAAGAGAAATACTGTTGTTGTATGTGTGTGTGACCCAGTCTGGCCTTAATCTTTGATCCTGTTGCCTTAGCCTCCCAAATACTGAGATCATAGATATGCAGCACTGAGCCTACACAAAATATCAGAGAGAGGGGGGAGGGGGAGGGGGAGGGAGAGGGAGAGGGAGAAGGGGAGGAAGAGGGAGAGATGGAGGGAGAGGGTTAGGGAGAGGTAGAGGAAGAGGGAGAGGGAGAGGGAGAGGGAGAGGGAGAGGGAGAGGGAGAGGGAGAAGAAGAAGGAGAGAGGGAGGGAGAGATGAAGAGGGAGAGGGAGAGGGAGGGAGAGAATCTGGCTTCTATTTGTACACACTTATTCATACGATTGCCTTGTGGGTATATTGCTGCTACACACCACTTTGCTCTTAAAATCCTTCTCCTTGACGTTTTGGCTCAGTGCTACTTCCTTTAAGAAGTCTTCCATACCTCCTACCCTTGACCTGCCCAAAATAATTCCTTCATATTTCTTTCCAATGGTCAAAGGCATGGTATGACCCTTGACCTGATTTTAGGGGTCTTTCCTTGCATGCCTTTTTCTTTCCTCTTGGAATGTCAGGCTTGAGAAGCTTTCTTGGACAAGTCTACTTTATGCAATCTGGTATCTACAGGTTAAGCTCACTCAGGAGTTGGATGTATATTGTGTTAATTTTTCATTGATGACATCAGCAAACATCTACTTATCCTACCAAATGACACAACAAAGGAATGATTCCATTTGTCTAATGTCAAGAATCAGTTTATTGTGCTCATTTTACTGGAACATGGTGAAGAGCTCTTTAGAGAAATATAGGTGACCCCAAACAACGCATTAATAAAAACCAGCACTCTAGCATAGATAATAACTCCTCCATAGCCACAAAGACATTCTTCAGTGAACTTTCTATCCTTTATGCATTCTAGAAACCCCCCAAACCATCATGTACACAAGGCACAACTACATGCAACTCAGAGAGACAGAGAGAAGAGTGTGGATGGACTTTTGGGTGAGTTCTAATGATTCTTCTATCTCTTCCTCTTATAAGAGAACATAAATATGTTGGCTTTAATTGAGGGCCTCATGCAGGTAATCACAGGTGCTCTGATTAATACAATAGCTTTATTGTGGCCAGAGCACAATGGTTTATAACATTTTATCAAGTCTTAAGACTAGAATTAGATATATATTCAAAACACCCTTAATGAGCAGGAGCTAAGACAGAGGTTCATAGTTGTACTTAGGGAACATGTGCTTGAAAAATATTCTGTTTAAAAGGATAGGTAATACAATGACAAAGAGAGATTACAATGTGGATAGTAATGAGGCCAGTTTGCTCTCTGAGGCATATTTGTTATCACATTTGTTATCTATAAGGGGAATTGGCACTATTTATGCAGGAGCTTCTGCTTCTTGTTGAACGTATGCACTTGGATTCACCAAATCAGTGAGTGGAATGGTTTTGAAATGTTTATGGCTTTACTAAATAGTTAAAGGGTTCCTTTTCTCAAGGTAAAGCTGACCTAAAATTGTATCTCATGAAGATAATAGAGTCCTTTAAGGAGTATATAAATAACTCACTGAAAGAAATACAGGAAAACATAGGTAAACAGGTAGGAACCATTAAACAAATAAATCCCTTAAATAAATGCAGGAAAACACAATCAAACAGGTAAAGGAATTGAGTAAAGCATCCCAAGACCTAAAAGTGGAAGTAGAAACAATAAAGAAAACACAAATGGAGGTAAACCTGGAAATAGAAAACCTAGGAAAGGGGTCAGGTATTACAGATGTATCACCAATGAAATACAAGAGATAGAAGAAAGAATCTCAGGTGTAGGAGATACTGCAAAAGAGATTGATACAGCTGTCAAAGAAAATTCAAAACATTAAAAACTCCTAACCCTCTGCAGCTAGTATGGAGTAGACCTGCATGTACCTTGTTACTTAGAAACTTCTTGTTGAGCTTTTATTGTATGATCCTGAGGTTCCTTGTGCTTATTTTGGGGTTTTTCACTTGTAAAAATCAACTACTTTTTTGATTTTTGAAATTAAAATATAATTGCATAATTTCCCCCTTATCTTTCTTCAACCTCTCTCAAGTAACCCACTCTTCCCTTGTGTTCTCAAGTTTGTGGCCTCTGGCTTTTATTGTGGTGTATATATTCAGAAATATATGAATATAATCTCAAAAAATTTCTCCTAACCCAGAGCAGCTAGGAAATTTAAGACACAATGAAAAGACCAAATCTAAGAATAATTGGAATAGAGGAGAAAGAAGATCCCCAGATGAAAGAACCTGAAAATATCTTCAACAAAATCATAGAAGATAACTTCCCTAACCTAAAGAAACAGATGACCATAAAGGCACAAGAAACCTATAGAACATCAAATAAATGAGAACAAAAAAGAAAATCCTCCCATTACATAATAATTAAACTACTAAACACACAGATCAAAAAAAATATTAAAAGCTGCAAGGGAAAAGGGCCAAGTAACATACAAAGGTAGACCTATCAGAATCAGACCAGACTTCTCAACAAAGACTATGGAAGCCAGAAGAGCCTGGTCAGAAGTCAGGCAGACTCTAAGAGAACACAGATGGCAGCCCAGGCTACTATACCCAATAAAAGTCTCAATCACCATAAATTGAGAAAACAAAATATTCCAGGATAAAACCAAATTCAAACAGTATCTATCTACAAATCCAGCCCTACAGAGGATCCTAGAAGGAAAACCCCAACATAAGAAAGGTACACCAAAGAAAAGACAAGATATTAAGAGTCTCACAACAAAGCCAAAAGGAGAGAACTACAAGCACATAAAGCCACCTACAAAACATATCAGGAATCAATAGTCATCTGTCTTAACTTCTCTCAATATTAATGGACTCAACTCACTTATAAAAAGACATAAGCTAAGAGACTGGGTACACAAAAAAGATTCAGCATTTTGCTGCATACAAGAAACATACCTCAATAACAAGAGAAATACACTATCTCAGAGTAAAAGGATGGAAAAAGGTCTTCCAAACAAATCGTCCCAGGAAACAAACTGGAGTTGTTCATCCTAATATTCAATAAAATAGACTTTCAACCAAAAGTTTATCAAGTGTGATGAGGAAGGACACTTTACATTCATCAAAAGGAAAATCCATCAAGAGAAAGTCTCAATTTTGAACATCTATACCCCAAATGCAAGGGCACCCACATTCATAAAAGAAAGTTTACTAAAGCTAAAAACATACATTGAACCCCACACATTAATAGTGGGAGACTTCAACACCCCATTCTCACCAATGAACAGGTCATGGCAACAGAAACTAAACAGAGACACAGTGGAACTAATAGAGGTTATGAACCAAATAACAGATATCTACAGAACATTTCACCCTAAAACAAAGAATACACCTTCTTCTCAGCACCTCATGGTACCTTTTCCAAAACTGACCATATAATTGGTCACAAAACAACCCTCAACCAATACAAGAAGACTGAAATAATTCCATGCATCCTATCAGATCATCATGGCCTAAGGCTGGTCTTCAATAACAAAACAAAAACAACAGAAAGCCCACATACAAGTGGAAACTGAACAACTTTCTACTCAATGATAACTTGGCCAGAGAAGAAAAAAAGAAAGAAATTAAAGACTTCCTGGAATTTAATGAAAATATTGACACATCATACACAAATTTAAGGGACACAATGAAAGCGGTGCTAAGAGAAAAATTCATAGCCCCGGTAAAGGAACTGGAGACATCTTATACTTGTTTGGGTCAGGAATATTTAGTTCACTCCTTGTTACACAAATCTGTGTTTTCTATTTTACCACAGAATATGACTCTCATTCCTAGAACCTTTCCAGAGGAACATGCTGTGTTAACTTCATGAATCCATACTGGGATCACGGAAGTGTAGATAAGTTTCTGTGAACTATCATGAAACAAGGAGAGGCCACACTATCAGGTGCCAGGGTTGCTTCCTAGAGTAATGGGCCCGAGCAAGGATCCTGTGACATAAAGAAGCTCTTTGGCCAGCAAAGTGCAGAGTCTCAGAAATACAGTTAGTAAGTGCCAGGGTTCTAGTTACGTACTTTAATCCAGAAGTCCCCCATCTTAGAGGTTTCCATTTAGATTGAGGGTGAAAGTACATACTTGACACGATTGCTGATTCCAAGAAGTGCTTGCTGACAGGAGCCTGGTATAGCTGTCCCCTGAGAAGCTCTGCTAGCACATGAATAATATAGATGCAGATACTCACAGTTAACCATCAGACTGAGCCTTGGGACCTCAGTGGAAGAGTTAAGGGAAGGACTGAAGGAGCTGAAGGGGATTGCAACCTCATAAGAAGAACAACAATGTCAACTAACTGGGCCACCCAGAGCTCCCAGGGACCAAATACTCCAACCAAAGAGTATACATGGATGTGTCCATGGCTCCAGCTACATATGTAACAGAGAATTGCCTTATCTGGCATCAATAGGAGGGAAGGCCCTTGGTCCTGTGGAGGCTTGATGCCCCAGTGTAGGGGGATGCTAGAGTGGTAAGGTGGGAGTGGGAGTAGAGACAAAAAGGAGAAGGACTGGGATGAGGGGTTTGCAAAGAGGAGACTGGGAAGGGGGACAACATTTGAAATGTAAATAAATAAAATAGCCAATAAAAAAGAAAGTGCATATAAATATACATATGTGTGATTGTACAGAACCTTCCTACACAGAAACTCCTAGTGAACCAAAGATATTTCATAAATTCATGACAGATGCTACTAAAATATGCAATGATATTTTATGTCTTTAAAAATTATAGATATATTAACTTCCCCGACATGTGTTGCAGGTGTAGCTGCTATTTCCCATGTGTGTCATCAAGTGGCAGAGAAGAGAAAGGCTATGTCTATGTTCAGTGTTCTGAACTATGAAAATCTAAATGTTTAGCAGCCTAACACTCCCTGAAAAAAGTGAGCCTGAGATAACCATTAGTCTGGTGTCTGGGGACCCAGACAGAGAGCTAGCCTGAGGTAACCACCAGTCTTGTGTTAGGCAGGCCTGGATGGACTCCCAGAATGGGGAGCAAGCTGAAGACTAGAAGAACCTCATCTGGAACCATAGGCCCTGGGCAGAAGTGAGCTTGAGATAGACTACTTTCTCTAGAAGCCACTTAGGTGGCAGGGTGAGGAGCAAAAATGACCACCAGACTGATACCATGAAGCCTAGACTGGGAGATACCCTGCTATGACCACCCTCTGGGTGCTGTGCATGCCCATGCCCCAAATGACCTCTGCCCGGTGCCATAACGCACAAGCAGGGCATAGGCACTCCTGAAACATCTTCTGAGATGACCGATCCCAGACACTCAAAGACCCTGGCATCACTAAGAAGAGCAAGTAAGTAGTAGAGAAATGGAAGAGAAAGAGACACAGAAGGATGTGGCACAATCAAGAGAGGCAGAACTGGAGACTCGAGGGTAGTGAGGAACAGCTTGATGTGAGGAGCTGGTGATGCCACCTGGGACCACGGTGGTGTCTTGGTCTGTGGAGCCACTGGGGGCCATGCCTGGGTTTATGATCCTGTAGCATCAGAAGTCTGTCTGTTATCACCAAAGACTAAGTATGTGGATGTCTGTCCCTGGTCTGGTCTGCAGCATGGGAACATGTTGATGGTTGAGAGCTGTGCAGAAGTGGCCCCACTCCTCACCTTGCCGTCACTTGTAAGCTGGCCCTGTCACTTGTCTGTTGAGTGGTAACATGGGCAAGGGAGAGATTCTCCTCTTGCCACCTATGTCAGGTTGAAGAGCTGGCCCTTAGCCCATAAAAGCCACAAAGTTACCCCTGTTGCCCTCCTGCTGTGGCATTCAGTAGAGCAGGCTCTGCAACTCACCTGGGCAGCACAGTAGAAATGACCATGGATGTAGGAGTTCTGACTGAGCCAGTCCCAAGGTTATGAGAAGGGCAGAGCCAGCCCTGCCTCTTTGTTGAGTGATAGAATCAGCAACTGAAAGATTCCCCGCTTTTGCCCTTACCACTGGTAGCAGGAGAGAGAGCCCTACAGAATCACAAGAGCAGGAGAACAGTCCCTGCCCTTCACCTGGGCAGTACAGTAGAGCTAACTTTGATGTCCGGGATGCAGATGAGCTAGCCTCCAGGGTATGAGCATGGGAGATCTGGTCCCCCAACTAGTCTGCGGTGGAGTAGTATGAACAAGGAAGAAATGTTCCCCTCCAACCTTACCCCTTGCCATGACCCTGGGCTTATGAGAGCAGCAGAGCTGTTCCTGCCCTCATCTGGGCAGTACAGTAGAGTGTGTGGCTGCAGGTGAGCCAGCCCTGAGGGTGTGAATGAAGGAGAGCTGGACCTGCTTCCTGTCTATCGGGTAATGATGTGGATGAAGGAGAGATGCCCTCTTCCTTTCCCTCACCCCTTGCCATCTGTGGCAGGCATCCCTCACCATCTATTGCAAGTGGAAGAACTGGCCCTGGGATCACAAGGGTAGGATAACTGGCCATGACTCTTACCAGCTGCAAACACTTGAAAGAGCAGGTCCTACACCTCAACTGGCCAGAAGGGTCAAGCTGGCCCTGGTTGTAGGGGTTGCTGGTGAGCCAGCTCTGAGGGCTTGAGAGTAGGAGAGCTGGTACGCAGACCAGTCAGATACTTCTCAGGCCCAGATCCAGGGCTTTGAATTGGCTTTGAATTTCCCCAACATCTACCTCATTGATGAACTATTATCCCCAACTACAGGATGTCCATAACACAGGGCAACAACAGGATATCTGAGAGGAGTCCCAGTGAGGATCCAGTACTGATAGAGTAGCAGAAGTCAGAGGCCTTGAACCAGACCAAGGAATCATTGCAATGAACATTTGTACGAAAAGAAGGGTGAACAAAAGGGTTCCCTGTGATACATGATAGCTTCACAACAAGAATTCTTTTCTCTGCAAGGGTTGAGGGTGGGTAGGCAGAAATGGGGAGATGAGTAGGATTGGGGTGCATGATGTGAAACTCACAAAGAACTAATAAAACGTCAAAATTATAGTCATTTTAGTAATTATTTCTGCTCTGAGTGCACAATGAGTGGTTTTGTTATATACACAATCCTGTTGCTCATCCAAAGGTTGAAATCCTATAAAAAATTTATAGACAAATGATTTCATCCTTCTCACATTAAAAACAATGAGTCTAGAGAAGAGATTTTATTTTATCAGCTCTTTTTTTTGTGAAATGTTTTTGTTTATTATGCCTTATCCTGTCCTGTTTAAAGTTATCTCGGCTTTCTTCAGGCTAATGTGAGTGTCTAATTTTGACTGTGTGGCATGCTTAGTTTACCAGGAGGAATGGGCCATTAGCCTATTAGGTGTTCCTTGCTGCCTGCCGAGAAGCATGGAGACCAGGTTTCCAGCTCCTTTACAGTGCTTCTCCCTGGGTTTAGGCAGGATGACTGATTAGCTGGGGTTAGCAGAGCCCCTATACATGCTTCCTTTTGGAGGGCTTTTTCGAGAAGGCGTGTCTGCAGTGGTCTGTCACAGTGGGGCTGCTCCAAATGTGTTTCAACAAACTGCTCTCAACTTTCCTCTATTTCATCACCAGTAATGGCAATTTGTCACTTGCAAGCAAGAAACTGTCAAGGCTCAAATCATTTTAGAAAGAGCGACATGAAGTGACATTTTTCAAATGCTGAACTTGCTTCAAGGGGAAGAACAAGTTTACTCGGGAGAAGGTGGTGGAACAAGAACAAATAGAATATTCTCCTGGAGGAGAAAATGACTTTTTCTCACAAATGGGCTTTCCAAAGAGAGCTGTGTGCCAAGATCAAGCAGAGTGAAAAGCTGTCCCATCTTTTTTGGTGACATTTAGTTTAGAAATGTTCAAATATTTTCAGTTTCAAAACATAAGATGACATTAAAATAATCTATATCTAATTAGAGACTCTTGTGATCTCAAACCAAATTTGGGAGTTTCGTACATGGAATGGTTAATGGTAAATGCCCAAACTAGAAGATATGCTGATTGGTCTATTTTCTATTGTGACAACAGAAAGCTGGTGATTTATACAGAAGAGTGTTTGTTTCACTCACAGTATTGCAGACTCTAAAATCAGGGTGCTAGAGTTACCTGGCATCTGCTGAGGGGCCTCATGCTCTCTTACCATGGCAGAATAGTAGAAGAGCTGTATGTAAGAGAGGTCACATGCCACCGAGGCAGAGAAGGTACCATACAGGCTTATAAGAGTCCACAAGAGCAAATCTATTTTTCAAAGACAACTCACTCCCACCAGACAAAGTCCATTCGCAACATAACCTAACCCAGTTTCTTAAGATACAGTAGCCTCTCCAAACCCAATCACTTCCCATCCAGTCCCTACTCATAAACTTTTCCTTTCCTCTTGGTACCCTTATGTGGTGTCGTACGTTTCCAGTACAAGCCCTTTGGGAAGAAACTACATCCAAACTCTACCTCCTGCTGAACGAATAAATATCATACAAACAGATTTATTTAAAATTAGATAATGCTGCTACTGACAAGTTTAGAAAATGGAGGAAGCCCTGGACAACGAAATCGTGAGTGAATGTTGGTGTGGACCAAGGCCTAGGACCTGTGGCAAAGCTTTTCGTCAAATGGGTCAGGCTTGGATTTGGCAAAACTTTTTCTGGTCTCAAGACTAGTGTTTAGGAATGATTAATCAATTTGTGCAAAAACTAGCAACTGCAGGTTCCTCATCCTGGATGCTTATAGCCTAGGCATGATCACCTCCAGAGACCTCACACCAAAACCAGCTAACCCCTCACTCTGCACAGTACCTGGAGAACATGCTGAGCTTCCAGCTTATGTGGTAGTAAGTGTGACTCCACCAGAGTATGTACAGTCCACCTGACCCCCGCTGTTCCTTATTAGTATCTGTGTGTCTGTTCTTACTCCATTTCCTGCATTCCCTAGTCAGAATGGTCCAGTATGAAACCTCATAGGTGACATCAGGTAAATTGATACTATGGTGTCTTGCGTTTAGCTGAAGGAGAAACACAATAGAACAACCTAACAGAATAGTTCCAACTTTGAAAGTTTACTCCTAAGGGACAATGATGTCCCCTGAGTCTTGGTTGGGTTACTGAGTCAGCTGTACAAAGCTGCTGGTGTCTCCACATCTTAGCTTGATAATGAATGCACTTAGCAGGATCAAGAAACCTGACTTTGAAAACTGAGTCTGTCTCCACACTCTGCCTTTCTTGCACAAATAAATGGGCAGTATAAAAACTGATTTTTGGCAAACTAGATAGAAATCATGATGTTTCATTAGTGTATCTTCAAAGGAAGGATGCTGGCACAAGAGATTGGCATGAGTCTCTTCTAGAACTTTTCTTACATTTGTAAGAAAAAACTTGAGAGTTCTTGGAGTTTGCCAGTGTAATCCTTTGGAGTGTGGCTGCACATAGACAGTGCTTTCTAACCTTTATCATTTCTTCTGAAGCACTAGGATACCTCATTTTCCCCTCTGTCAAGCTATTGTTCTGCCTTTAACTACTATAGTTACTGGATTGGACTTATGGGTAGAATAACAACTATCATGATAAGAGGTCGTAACAGCCAAGTTGTATGGACTGTTCATACCACGGTAAGCACTTGTAGCCTGATAATAATTACTAGAGCCACATTTAGAGGAGGAAGATCAGGCTTGGAGATGTTATATAAGCAGACTGATCACTTACAGGCCTGTGTGAGTCTGAGTGGACTTGTGTCCATGGAACAGTCCCAAGAGGCAATGGTCTTAACTGCTGTATTATCCCAGAGCTTCATGTTCCATTGCACTTAAGCATAGTCACTGTGTGGGTTTTTCCTAGTTTCAGGACCAGTCTTAATGAGTGGATAACGGGAATTGTAATGAGCACCATACCAGGCTTAGCGAAGCTGGATTTTGCTTACTTTGCAGTTATAATGCTTGTTTGAAAATCGTGTTCA